TTTTTTTTTTGTGGTAAATAATAGCTGTACTTTTATACGTATATATTTATATTTAGATTTTTCAAATGTACATTATTGGATATGTAATTTACATATATATATTTCTTTTGGTTTGCAGTTTTAGGGGGCGATATGTTAGAGGAAATGGCAACCAAAAGAAATGGGGAGATTGATATGCTATTAATAGGGAGTTTTAATTACAATTATGGCAGTTAATGAAATGCTTGGAATAAATTATAAATAAAATATGAAGTCTGATGGCAAGGATGTAAAAACATAGGAATACTATGACCTCTTATATCCTATTGGTCATTTAAGTTTGAAATTGGGTTTTACACATAGATTTATAAAATGATGGGTATATGTCTAGGAAATAGAAATTGTAGGGACCTATATTGAACAAGCCCAAGGATTCTTAAACAAATAATTCGCTTGTATTAAAAAAATAAAATTCAACGGGGAAACATAAAACCAAATCCCTTGATTCATAACTTAATTAGAGGTTGACTCAGCAAACTACAAAAGTACCAAATTTTAATTCAATGAAGCTATCAGCAATCATATTACCAAAATTCAAACAATAATACGTGGTTCTTTACCTCACTTATCTTGGTTATATGACAATGAATTCATTAATTTATGGATTTTCTTCTACTATAATTCAGAAAAAGCGAGCGAAAAATATAAGCATATGAGAATTTGAGAGAGAGAAAAAGAAAGTTGAGCGAAGAGAAGGTAAAACTTGCAAAAGAATTTTAATAAATACTATTATATGTGTTATATTAGTATGTTGGGCTAGTATATTAATATATTACATGCGTGCAAATGATTTTTTTATATTTAAAATATTTGAAACATAAAGTAAATTACAACTGGATCCTAAGGATCCTCGATTTGGGCATTTACAAAAGCAGAATTGATTGGCATATTGTACTCCCGAATTGATTGGCTCTACAAAAGTTTTCCACATTCAGAAAAGCTTTATTTTATTCAAAGACGACTAACTTTGAAGGGCCCCGTTTTGACAATGTTGGGTGATTCGTTCAAAGTTGGGTAACCGTCTCTAACCTTCTTCTTAGCAACTTTCAATTTGGTCGACTATGCCTTGACAGTGACTTAGTATGCAGTGCAGAAGACCAAGACTTTGTTTGGTCGACTCGAAAGGCATTGCCCCACTTTTGGTCCTTTTCTCCATCCAGAAAATATTCCTTTGCATCAAATTCAGAGTGTTCAGACTTTGCTGGACGGCTACAGAATCATTTTATTTAATAAAGCTAAAAAAGGACATTTTTCTTTTTTGATTTTGTCCTTTTATCCCTAAAAGTCTTTCCCAATATGTCACAATATTCTTTGCTGTAAACATTCCACATTGGTTTAGCGGAAAGTTAAACACTAGTTCACTACACACGGGCCATGCAGTAGGGCGTGCATGGCAATGCTTGGAACATCAATGGTTTAATAGTGGGTTGTGTTAGTTTAAGTTTCTGATTTTTTTCCAACTCTTTCTAAGTACATGGATTTCTTTGTCAATGTTTATTCTATGCCGAGGGGTCTGTGATATCATTTTAAATTTGTAACGAAGAACCCATTATCTAATTTTTCTTTTGATTTTAATTTTTTTTAATATAAAAAAATGTGAATTTATCATATTGTCCTTATTTAATTAATATTTCAATTATTAATATTTATATTAACCAATGATATTTTAGGGTTGACTTGAAATATTGCCCCACTTTTGGTCCTTTTCTCCATGCAGAAAATCAAAATATGCCTTTGCATCACATTCAGAGTGTTATTCGTGTTTGTGGAAGTATATCTATATATACGCCATGAAGTCGAGCATCTGCAATTTTGATTTTGCTTTCTCTCCCTAGTTCTCTATCCTTGTCTCTCTCTCCCTTCCGATCTCTCTTTATTTTCCCCATCAAAGTTGCATATCTTCATTCCCTTCCAAGTCGCAGATCTTCTAGGTTTGTAAAATAGGAAGCTGGGTTGGTGGGGTTTTGGGTTGAGTTTGTAGCTTTGAGGGATTGAGGAAGGGAAAAAGTTGCAGAGAGAGGATGAGGTGAGCAAGTTGCAGAGAGAAAACAAAACAACTACAAAAAATCCAAGAGGAACAACTACTGGGAGGCTCGAACCGGGATAACGAGGATAAAAGCCTGTAATTGTTTGAAACAAATAAGGGCAATATGGGTAATATGAAAATTTCATTAAACCCTCCGCATGCTTCTCCGCGCAGCAGTTTTTAGAAGCAGGTTGTGAGCTGCTTCTGTTTTTTAGCTTTGAATGACAGCAACTTATTAAATAAGCAGCTTGAATTTGTTTTACCAAACACCCAAATCTCCAAAACTTTTTTTCAAAGCTGCTTATTTTTTAAGTTAAGCAACCCCAAACTAAGCCTTAGTAAAAGAATTCTCAGATAATACTCATTTTCTCTCTCTGATTCTTTGACTCTTCTCCTTCTTCTCAATTCTTCCTCATCTGTTAACATGGTATCAGAGCTCTGCGTGGCTCGTACCCTCTGATCCTGATGTGCTTCCTCTGTGTTCAGCTCTGATTTCCTATTCTCTTTCCTTCCCCTTATTCGATTTCGTCAAATTCCTTCTAAATTCTTGTTTGTTGAATCAATTTCGTCGATTTCACGTTCAATTTCCTTCTTCTTCTTCTTCGATTCCAAAACTCTCATCTTTCTTCTGTGATTGTTCAACAAATTCCTCTTTTTCTGCATCAATGGCGGCTTCGTCTCTCAAAATTGAAGGATTGCTAGGCATGGTTACTCTGCGTCTGAAAGATGATAATTTCTTGAAATGGCGGTATCAGATTGAATCTGTCCTGGAAGGTTATGATCTTTTCGGCCACTTCGATGGATCTACCATTGCTCCCCCAAAATTTGCTATTTTGTTAGTTAGGAAGAGCTAGCTTAACTACTAAGCAAAGCCCAAAGTATAAAGGGTTCTGTGTACTGTAATATTAAGGACTCAGTAAAAGAATTCTCAGATAATACTCATTTTCTCTCTCTGATTCTTTGACTCTTCTCCTTCTTCTCAATTCTTCCTCATCTGTTAACATGGTATCAGACTAGTAAGTGAACTCAGAGGTTACTGCGGCATATAAGGAGTGGCTTCGGGCTGATAAAGCTTTATTGAGCTTTCTGATTGCAACACTCTCGGACGACGCGATTGAATATGTTATTGGCAGTAAAACGGCTCGTGATGCTTGGTTGAGCCTCTCCGATCACTATGCCACGGTGTCTCGTGCTCTGATCAGTCATCTCAAGACTGAGTTGCAGACGGCTCAAAAAGGTGGTGATTCCATCGACAAATTTCTCCTGTGTCTCAAACGTATCAAGGATCAGTTGTCTGTTGCTGGCATTTCGATTTCGGATGATGATCTCATGATCGCAGCTCTCAATGGATTACCTTCCGAGTACGATATGATCAAGACAGTTCTCATTGCTCGAGATACGTCCATTTCGTTCAAAGATTTTCGAACTCAGCTTTTAGCTGCTGAACAATCTGCCGAGTCGCGCCTTTCAGCTCTTCATACTCCTATGGTGGCCATGATTGGGCATACTTCTTCTGGCTCTCTCAATACCGGTGCTGGTATACTTCCTACTCCTTCTACTGTTCTTGTATCTCCTTCTGGTTTTCATGCCAATGCTAGGCCCTCTGGTTCTATGTCTACTTCTTTCGGTAGAGGACGATTTTCTGGTAATCGCTCTTTTCCTCCTCGTGGAGATTTTCAAGGCTACAGACCGTCTCATGGTGGCGGCTTTCAAGGCTTCAGGCCTTCTCCTGGTGGCTTTCCAAAGTTTGGTGTTGTGCCCGAATGCCAAATTTGCAACAAGCGTGGACACACTGCTGTCAACTGCTACCATAGGAATGTTTCTCCTCAGCACTCAGCCTCATAATCTGTTATCGAGTGTCAAATCTGTGGGAAACGTGGACACGGTGCTTTGGATTGTTTTCATCGCTCAAACTACGTGTATCAAGGTTCCTCTGAATCTCTCACTGCAATGACAGCTCAGACCTCTTTTTCTCCTGAGACATTCTGGATAGCGGATAGTGGTGCCAGTCATCACATGGTGCCCACTGTTGATCAATTGGATTCTGTAACTCCATGTACTTCTGCAGATCAAGTTACTATTTGCAATGGGGCAGGTTTGGAGATTGCTCACATTGGCCACACCAATCTCTCTAATGGCACTTCTAAACTACATCTGCACAATGTTTTTCATGTTCCACAGCTTACTGCTAAGCTTCTGTCAGTTCATCAGCTATGTCAGGATAATAACTGTTCTGTCCTTTTTGATCAGTTTGGTTTCTGTATACAGGACAAAGCAACAAACCAAGTTCTTCTCAGGGGCAGGAGCAATAAAGGCATATATCCTATACATGGTGCATTTCCTCCAGTCAATTCTTCTTCTCTAGCTGCTGGTTCCTTTTCTCCAGCTACTGCTTATGTGGGACAGCGAATCAAATCATCTGTGTGGCATAGTAGGTTAGGGCATCCTACTAATGAGGTAGTTCAAACTATGCTTAAAACCTCTCAATTACCAGTTCTTGTAGATGCTCATCCGCATGTTTGCCCTTATTGTTTAAGTGGTAAAATGCACACCTTATCCTTTCCATCTACTCATGTTAAGTCTTTAGTGCCATTCCAAAGAATCCATAGTGATCTGTGGGGACCCTCTCCGTGTAAATCCTATGATGGATACAGATATGTAGTGACCTTTATTGATGAGTTTACTGGATATTCTTGGATATTTCCATTGTTCAATAAATCTGAGACCTTCTCAAAGTTTCTTCAGTTTTCTGCATTTATCAAGAATCAATTTTCTGCATCTATTAAATGTCTTCAAACTGATGGGGGAGGAGAATTTATGAGCAAGCAGTTTACAGATTTCTTGTTGAATAATGGTATTGAACATCAAATTTCATGTCCTTATACTCCCCAGCAGAACGGCCGTGCTGAGAGGAAAAATAGACATTTGATTGAGACATCTGTAACCCTATTAACTGCAGCTTCGTTGCCTGAGATTTTTTGGTTTCATGCTATGGCACATTCTGCCTATCTTATTAACAGAATGCCTAGTAAAATACTGGAAAATGAATCTCCGTATTTTAGATTGTTTCATAAACTTCCAGAGATTAAGCATCTACGTATATTTGGTTCGGCTGTGTATCCTTGTCTGAGGCCCTTTACTAAGCATAAGCTCCAGCCTCGCTCTTCCTTCTGTGTGTTTTTAGGCTATGTGCTGGGCTATAAGGGTGTCATGTGTTATAATATGGAAAATCACAAGGTTCTTATTTCTAGGAATGTTATCCATGATGAAAGTGTTTATCCTTTTAAAGATCATAAGGTGTCTCCTCCTCAGGACACTTCTTCAGTTTCTGGTATGCCTATCAGTGTTCCTTCAAGTGTTGTTTTCCCCAACTCTCATACAGATCCTTCACCACATCTTGTACCTTCCATCTCAACACCTACAACAGAGTTTTCTTCTTCTCATGCCTTTGAGACTTTTATACCTGCAGTTCCTACTGTTCCAGTTTTAAGTGAAGCTCAGTTGGAAGCTTTACTCCCTCATATACCATCATCTGGTTCTTCTGAGGTTGTTCCCGACTCAGATAGTTCCTCCAGTTCTACTGCTTCTAATCATGCTAATAATCATCCTATGCAAACTCGAGCAAAGTCTGGAATTAGCAAACACAAGGATTTCTCAGATTTTCATTGTTTCAGTTCGACTTTTCTGCCTTCTTCAGAACTAGATGAACCTGCCAGTTATAAGATTGCTTCTTACTCCTCAGACTGGACAAAAGCTATGCAAGAGGAGATTGCAGCTTTACATATGCAAGGCACATGGGTTTTAGTTCCACCTCCTTTGCATAAAAATGTGGTTGGTAGTAAATGGATCTACAAGATCAAACGAAATTCTGATGGCACCATTTCCAGATATAAAGCAAGGCTAGTGGCTTAAGGTTTTAGCCAGGCACATGGTTTGGATTACTCTGAGACTTTTAGTCCAGTAGTTAGGCACACCATTGTCAGGATTATTCTTAGTTTGGCTGCAATGCATGGTTGGAAACTCAACCAATTAGATATTAAGAATGCTTTTTTACATGGTGATCTTGATGAAGAGGTTTACATGAAGCAACCACAGGGGTTTGAAGATTCTCAACATCCAAATTTTGTCTGTCAACTAAAGAAATCGTTATACGGTTTAAAACAAGCTCCAAGGGCATGGAACTCAAAGTTCATTGGATACTTACCTTCTTTGGGTTTCAAAGTCTCTCAATTTGATCCTAGTTTATTTGTCAAGCATCATGGTTCAGATGTAGTCATCTTACTTCTTTATGTAGATGATATCATTTTAACAGGTTCTAATACGAGTCTCATTCAAGAAATCATTGCTGATCTTGGTTCTGTTTTTGAGTTGAAAGATATGGGGCAACTATCCTATTTCTTGGGGCTACAGATTTCGTATCAGAGTAATGGGGCTATTTTTGTACATCAGTCAAAGTATGCAAAGGATTTGCTAGCAAAGGCTGGTATGAGTACATGTAAAGCATGTTCTACTCCAAGTAAACCCCATACTCAGATTTTGCCGACTGAAGGAGAACCCTTAAAGGATCCCACATTGTATCGTAGTATTGTTGGTGCACTACAGTACCTTACATTTACAAGGCCAGATTTAGCATATGCTGTCAATACAGTGTGTCAATATATGACCACACCAACTGATGCTCATTTCTATCTTGTTAAGAGGATCTTGAGGTATATACAAGGGACGTTACAATTTGGTATTCTCTATTCACCTGGTTCTGTTTCTATCAGTGCCTATGATCGGTTCATAATTGTATATCATTTTGTACCCTTCTAGCTTATGATTTGGTTATGTTTTTGAGTTAAACTTGTGCTTTTAATCCTTTTTGTGTTTATCTTTCAGTTCATTGAGCTTTAGGTAATAATGATGGCTTTAGAGAGCATAATTCATGCAATTCAAGCATGTTAAGGCCTAATTTGGATGAATGGATGAAGAGCTTAAAGACAAACTCATTTTGGCTACAGCCCCCTGCCAGTCCAGTTTCGTAGGTCATATTGCAAGCTTTGTTTCAGCAACCTACA